AGATGGGCAAAAACAGTCAGGCACAGACAGACAGGGGAACAGGCGGGCAGAGACAGGACCAGCTATATAGGGAGGGAAACAAATGAGGCAGAGACAACAGCAGACAGACACTATGAAGGGACAGAATGAGACAGAAGAGCTGCATTTCTGCACGGAAAATAAAAGCGAAAAAATAAGAATGACTCCAGACGGGCAGGCGCTCGCTCGCGGATCTGGGTCTCGCGAACGCCAGGCGCCCTGCTCTGGGTCCCCTCCAAGCTCCTCCAACTGCACTCATTCTTCATTTTTTTTTTTTTTTTTTTTTTTAAATCTCACAAACTAAAAAGCTCCAAGTTTCACATTATTACATCAGGAGTAACTGAAGGCTAAGCGAAAAGCAGAGTGCTGTGGTGTGAAAACACAGGAACACACACAGAGGCGCACACCCGCCCGCCCGCCCGCCACGGGCACCTCGACGGCCACCCAAAGCCTCAACATTTCACACGTGCAAAATGGACGGACGGCCATGGGTCCTACTTCCACCCAGGACTCGCTTGAGTTTGGTGCATCACGCCGCGGGTGGGATCGCCATCGGCAACCCCAGAATCCAACAGAGGGCTTTGATTCGTCGACGGCTCGTCTTGCTTAGCGATCCTTAAGGCGGCCCGTTACACATCGCTTAGCGATCCTTAAGGCGGCCCGTTACACATCGCTNGCTTAGCGATCCTTAAGGCGGCCCGTTACACATCGCTTAGCGATCCTTAAGGCGGCCCGTTACACATCGCTACGGCGATGTTGCCTGCCGCTCAGTCAAAGCTGCGTCGGCGGAATGTGATTTAGGAGGGGGGGGGGGACGCGCCTTCCCAGCCCCCGGTTAAGTGCTTTTTCTTTTTTAATGCACTGGTAGATGGATAAATTTTATTTTGGCACATCTGCCATGTAAGTCACTTTGCCGGAAAAAGAGAGGATATCAGATGAATAATTTAACAGCATGTGTGTTAAATCTAGAGAAAACAGTAACGCTCAGACACACCAGATCCACTGCCTCCCAGACCCGTCG